CCCCTCAAACATCACACACCCACACCCTGCCCCCACAACCCCCCACATATACACTGCCCCAACATACCCTATTGCCCCTCAACATGCACAGCCCCACCCCCTCACAATCCCCCCCAAACCTCCTCGCACACCACCATACACACACAACCCCTCCCCAGCCATGCACCCATACAATATATAAGACTAAGACTTTATTTTTGAGTTATTATGCAATCACCTCTATATACAGTACACAAACACAAATCATGACCAAAAAAAATTTGTAATTATATTAAAATGTTATAGCAGGTGTTTAACTTTTAGGGTATGATTTGGGTTTTTTTCTGGTTCAACTCCCAAAAGGAGTATTTCTGGGGTCAAGGGGAGGGGCTTCTGGTGGCAAATGTTAGGGGACGGGACTTCCAGTCCCAAGATGGCAACCAGGGGTCAGGGCAACCGTCAAGGGGCAGGGCTATCCAAGTGGCCCTTGACAGGTCACCAAAACTTGTTAAGCGGCCCTCCAGCCATTATAATTGCCCACCCCTGGCTTAGAATAACCTGTGAAGATTTAATCGATTCAGCCTCAGACCTTTTGACTGTCTGTACTTAGCCTTTGTGGATTAGGACACAAGAAATTTGACAGAAAGGGCTTGATTCTTCTTTCACAATGAATCAAGTTTAACTCCTCTGAAGTTAATGGAACTATTCCTCTGAAAAAATAGTGTACCATTATCATTAGGTTCAACAACTCAGTCCACCAAAAACTTTTTCCTAATTTTTTCAAACTAGAACTGTAAAAATCATACAACTGGTGTGGAATCCTATTCATAACAAGCATCTAGGATTATTGTGCTGTTGAGTATATCTTGAAGAAGCCAAGTTCTCTCAGGCTTTGGGCAAACAAACAAATTGAAGCAAGTTAAAAGGCACCAGGACTCATCCTGGAGCAGCTGCCCTGTGGCAAAAGTATGTGTGTCCCAGAGCAAGTGGAAGGTAAACAAGGCCATCTTAGCTAGCCCTCAGTAAAATGGCTAAGTTATTATGGTTTAGTTTACACTTAATGGGAGCACGCACATGGGATTTGTTCATTTGTTCATTCTTGGTTGTCTCACTTTAAACCCAGAGTAACTCCATTAATGTTTCTTGCATTTTGCCTAATGCCGAGCAAAATGAATATACTGTTTGCATTGTGTTTACTTAAGGCTGTTGACCTGGCTCAGCATATCAAATGTTTGTTACAGTGCACTGTGAAGCTAGTGAGTGGAGCCCATGGAGCCCTTGCACAAAGAAAGGAAAAACGTGTGGTTTCAAAAGAGGAAATGAAGTGAGGGTCAGAGAAATCGTACAGCAGCCTTCAGCAAGGGGCAATCCATGCCCCACTACAAGCGAAAGCAGAAAATGTATTGTACAGAGAAAAAGATGTCAGAAGGAAGGAAAAGGTACTATGTTATCATCATCATAATATGAGACTGGTATTGTGCTTGTTTAATGGCTTGCATCTGAAAGCATGGGCCTGCACTACTTACTTCACCAAAGCTCCCACTGCTGTAAGGGTTAGTTTGGCTTGAGTGAATCATGCCCTCACATAGAGTAAGTAATGCCCTCAGACCACTCACAAACTGCACTTCCACATGACCTAGAAGGTCTAGATCAAGTGGTCCTACCGGCAGAACTGCCAGTTCATTAATGTGAGTACCAAGTAACCCACTAAGGAGCACCACAGGGAAGAAATGAGGTCAGGGAGTCTTAGTTCTGTCCCTGCATGCTTCATACGTGGGGATGGGGATGGAAGTTTTCTGCTGCCTTACCGGAGCAGCAGACTTCACGTTCCTCAACCCATATTGGCCTAATAGTGCATTGAAGAGGCAGAGTCATGGCCCCATGCACTTTCCCTCTCCACCTGCTGGAAAGGAACAAGAGCACAACAGTGCCCCCAGATCCAAGGCACCACAATGAGGTTAGTGTGCTGTTGCATAGTTGGAGAACTCCAGAGTTCTTCAGTCAGCTTGCAAGAACCAGGAATCGTGTCCAGTTTTTATTTTTTTCTGTCAACAGTTTTGTTGAGCTTGAGCAAAGGAAAATAGGGACTGAGTTTTCATTCCAAACTGTAAATAATGGTTTTCTCTGAGTGGTGATGATGATGATGATGTATTTTGTTCATGGTGTTTTGGCAACAACTTCAGTTTGGACAGAACATTTCACTTTGAAAAGTATCTGCTGTTAGTCTGGGTGGGATTAACGCACAGGCAAAGTAGGCATAGACCTAAGGCCTTGTGCTGCAGGGGGGTCCCAGTCCTTCCCACCACAGCAGTGAATGGCCCTGTCTGCCTCCTTTCCCTTCCCTTCCCTTCCCCTCCCCTCCGCCAGACTTGCTGCCATGGTGGCTGCTTGCTAGCAGTGGCTCCAAGCCCTGCTCCCCGCGGGGAGCAGCACTGGGCTGGCGGGGGGGGGAGGGTCTCGACTGATCCAGGGTCCATGAGTTCATTTGCCTAGGGCCCACTAAAGGGTTAATCCAGCCCTGCATGTAGTAAGTTCTTGTAAAGAAACTTCCTCATGTATATTACCAGCAATTCTTGTTTTATAGACTTTACAGCACTTGTGCCAAATCATATTTACAAAATATTGCATAACTCAAAATTCCTTTAATGTCATAAATCTGTTTTTGCAAAGTGCATAAAGTTCCCCCGCCTTCCCTTTTGAGCAAGTAATGGTCCACATTCTGCCGCTCTATACCCACCGAGCAACTTCTTTGAAGTCGATGTAGTTAGATAAAGTATACATTACAAAAGATTTGGTCTCTGAGGGATTTCTGTGTTTGAGGGCAAGATGAAGCCACTTGCTTTCTTAAAAGTTCTAAAAATCCACAATTATGTACACCATCCTGTAGAAGAGTAGCCATAAACTCAGTCTACTTTCATGCACTTCCATAAGCAGATGGACTTAAAAAAAGAAAAGGTAATCTTTAATAAACCCAAGGAAATTCACACATAAAACACAAGGTTAAAATAACATTAAGAGTTGGATTATGGTGACACAACCTAGGAAACTGAGAATTAAGGCAAAAAGTCAACACTTCTTTTTCACTGGAAAAGGGGAAATGAAGCTTTTCAGTTTAATCTTCAGGCTGCTTCTGCCTGCCCTCCTGACTTGCATCCTCTTGCACAAAATGGTTGCAGTTAAAAGCGGGATTTAAGCCTAGTGCAGCTAAGGATTGACACGACACCTCATTTGATTAATAGCAGAAAGGCTTTAATAAAAATACCACAAACAAGCTATAAAACTAAATGACAGAAAAAGACGCCTTTTTAATATTCAGTACATGAGCTATCACAAAAGTCCCAGCAAAATTTTTTCTCTCCCAAGCAGGCAGAAAGCAGTTCTTGTCTTTACAGTCTTCACTAAACATGGATCCGTTGCCCAAGAGGTGAACGGCTGGGTGCAGAAATTATTTCTGATTTTTCTCTCTCTCTCTCTCTTTCCTAGTGTGCATACTTTGCTAACAACGTTGTTTCATTCTTATACAGTTTAATTGTATAGCTTCAAAGCATTCCTTCTTGATAGTTAAGAGACCATCACATTACAATTGCTAACTGCGAGGAACCTGTTTTTGGATGTCTAGGTGTGAAACTTGTTTTTGCAAGCTTTTGACCAGTCCAGAGGTTACGCAGTAATCAAGTAGGATGAATTTTGATTGACTGAAGATGGATCTTGGTTGACTGAATGGACTACTGTACTTTGGGCTATTGTTTTAACAATGGGGCAGAATTTACATTTACAATAGTTCACATGGTGATGGTCTATGGAGGCATTTGCAAAACCTCAGACAGACATTGAATGGCTATTCTGAGAAACATGCCTTAATTAAGGGCAAATGTGTCAACCAGGATACAGCCAGAAGGGGTATGCAGATATTTATGAATGGTTTAGCATAATAAAACATCGGGTACTTTTGCAACTAGTACACGCGATGAAATCAATTGGGATTACTTTATTTTGCATGGTCCCAGTCACGATCTTGCATTCTTGTGCAAGATGCACTCTTATTTTAATTTGGTCATTTAAATTTCATGTGTAGGTCCGGCCAAGCTTTTACAGTCAACAACATGTAGCTCTGTTTTTCTTTGAATGACACATTGAATATAAAAGAAACCGAGCTTGGCTATAGCTTCATAGACTAAATATGTTCAGAGAGCTACACAGTAAAAAAAGCAAAGAAAAGTGGGGGGTTGGCAGGGGAAGGAACTTTGGGGAATAAGCTAAACTGGACTTACTATTAAGAAAGGATTAAGTAAGTTTGGGATTTATTTTGTAATGTATACATTGTTTTGAAATACAGCTTCCTTATTCCCTACTGTGCGACAGGCCAGACATAAGGTAGAACCTGGATACTTTTCAGGTTGGGTTTCTAACCTCATGGTGAAGAAAGTTTGCAAAGTAACTTTCAAGTATACATAACTACAAATGGCTGTGTGAGACTGCTGAGGTGCTCCAGCTGTTTGCTGCAGTTTTTGTTTCAAAGGCACCTCTTCTCCAATCAGCTGTGCAGGACCACTGATGTGTTCCAGCTGAGTGGAAAAGTGGCACCATTTGAAGTAAAAGCTGCAGCAAACAGCTGAGTTGCTCTTCTATGATTCATAGATGCTAGAGTCAGAAGAGACCTCAATGGATCTTTGAGTCTGACTCCCTGCCAGTGGCAGGAAAAAGTGCTGGGGGCACGTGACCCCAGCCAGGTGCTAGTCCAGTCTCTTCTTGAAGACCCCCAAAGTAGGGGAGAGCACCACCTCCATGGGAAGCCTGTTCCAGATTTTGGCAGCCCTAACCATGAAGAAGTTCTTTGCGATGTCCAACCTAAATCTACTCAGCTTCCTGCTGCAAGTGAAAGAAGTTACAAACCACTTGGATGCAAAAGATCTGGGCTCTAGTGTATTAGCAATGATGTTCGTCATAAGGGCATTGTTAGCTAGTTCTGCACATGCTGGTTCCATGTTGAATGCAACTCTGTCATAGCATAGTAGGGTAGCCAGGGACCTCAAGAATCCTCTAGTGCAATTCCATGCACAGGTACAGGATAACCTTTTTTCTATATCAACCCAGATAGATGCTTGTCCTGCGTCTTTCTGAAAACCTCCAGTGAAAATGATTTCACAACTTTCATAGGCAGATTATTGCATTGTCCTACTGTCCTTAACGGCTACAACCTACACCCCTGTCCTTATAGTAGGAACTTTTTCCTGATGCTTACTTTTAATTTGTTCTGCTGTAGTTAAACCCATTGCCTATTGTCCTGTGCTGTGAAACAAGGAAAAGCAATTTTTTTCCTCCTTTGTGCCCTTTCAGATATTTGAAAACAAATATCATATTCTCTCTTAACTTCCTTTTTACCAATCTAAACATATCTAGTTTCTTAAACCTTTCCTCATATGGCTTACATTTCAAACTTTTTATCATAGTCATTAGAGATGCACCAATACATTGGTTCGATATCAGATCGGCACAAATATAAAGAAAATTGAGTGTATTGGAAATTGGCTTCTTTTGCCTGATGTGGCTAATAATTTGGCTGATAAATGCCTGGTGCATGTGCACAGCTGCAGTGTAGCACGTAGGCAGTGAGAAGCACAGCCCAGCAGCTTGGAAAGCTGTGTCGAACTGATAAGTCTGTTGTGGTGGAAGAGGAGGGGTAAGAGAAGGGGTGTATGGGGATAGATCAAGGCCCCCATGGTCAGGGAGGGAGTGGGAAAGGGGAAGGGACTGGGGCAGGTGCTGCCTAGCTGGGGTGGGGCACAGGATGGAGCCACAGCTCGTCCAGGGGGTACATAGAATGGGCAAGGGGGAGGGTGGCTCCCACTGCTGAGCACACCCCAGGAGGGCATAGTGGGGTGTGCCCCCAGATCTACGTGTGGCATGGCGCAGGCTGCCACTGCGGGCTGGGGCTGCACCGGGCTCTTCCTGATGGGGGCCAGGCCGGGCTGTGCTTGAAGGGCAGCAGCAGCAGTGCTGGGAGTGGGGGTTGGGGAGCTACAGTGAACTTTGGAGTGGCTGAATCCCCACTGTAGCCCCGCTCTCAGTGCTGCTGTTGCCTGCCCTGAGAACAGCGTGGCCCAGCACCCACCAGAAAGAGCCCAGTGCAGCCCCTGGCCCCAGCCCATTGCAGCCCAACCTGCCCCACCTTATGCAGATCTGGGGGTACATATCCCCCATGCCCTCCCAGGCTGCACGCTGTGGTGAGAGCTGCCTCCCCCCCTTCCCCCTGTGCCTCCCATGTGAGCCATACCTCCATCCTGCACCCCACCCTGCCCCACCCCACCTGGACAGCACCTGTCCCTGCCCCAGCCCCACTCCCTCCCTCATCGTGGGAGCCTTGATCTGCCCCCCCCATGCCCTTTCCCTTCTTCCTCCCCTTCCACCACAACAGACTTACCAGCCAGACACTACTCTT